CGGTGAAGTGCAACCCAAATGGACCATGCCAAGTCGGGTCGAATACATACCAATTATAGTTATGGACTTAAACATTAATCCAACAATACTTGCATCTATAGTTATTAGACTTATCCAAGTAGGAGATTGTTGGATAAGATGTCTAAGTCCATAACTATAATTGGTATGTACTTGACCCGAAAATAGCATGGTCCATTTGAGTTGCATTTCACCAGAACAATTTGTAAGGATGGACTTTTGAGTAGAGGTTATTTATGATTTATTAATATATTATAAGTTCTAATATATTAATATGAAATCATATTATTTAATTAGTATTGATCAATAATTAATTTGGAATTAATTTAGTGATCAAAAGAGACTAATTAAATGTATGAGGATTGATTTGGTAAATCAATGATTCTTATAGTATGGGCTTATGGTTATTTAGGATTGGCTAAACTAATATGGTAGTCCATGGATAGTCCATGGAGGTTTAACCCATGGATCCTAAGTAATATGAAAGGTCATGTCCATTAGGGTTTACATGGATGTAACCCTAGACTTTTCCACACTATATAAGAAGCCCCTAAGCTCCTAAAATCGACACTAGTGGTTCAAGGAATTCATAAGAGCTGATTTTGTGCAAGTAATTCTCTCTCAAGTCCTCCATTGTTGGTGGTGTTGTGTTAAGCATTTGAGGCATCACATTTGGGGTGCTAGGCTCTTTAAGGTCCAAGTTAACAAGCTACAAGAAAACGTAAGTCATCTAACTAGTTTTTGTTATTCAAGTACCCATGCTTTGTATGCTAGTTAGGATAATGCTTTGGAAAATCAAATTGCATGTATAATTAGAGAAAACATATATCCAAAGCATTTAGGGTTGTATGTGCACCATAAGGTTGTTAGAGTGCTCAAAACCCATCAGATCTATGTTCTAGAGAGCTAGGGTTTGAGCTAAACCCATTAAGAAGGGCTAATAGCGGGTAAAGTTGGACACTTTACCCTAAAAAGTGTATTCCCAATATGTAGATGAAGTATGGAGTTTGGATCTGAAGGATAGGAACTTAATCCATTGAGATGGCTCAATCAGACAGAGGAACTCGGCGAGTCCGTGAAAGGACTCGACGAGTTGAGTTGGTTTGTCCCGATTTTGTACAAGGTGGAACTCGATGAGTATGCGAAGGGACTCGACGAGTTAGTTTGTGTTTTCACGACTAAGAGTAGCAAAGGAACTCGGTGAGTCAAGGGATTGACTCGACAAGTTGAGTCAACTCAAATTGTTGACTTTGACTTGGACTGAGCGTTGACTTTGACTGGGACTTAGACTTGACCAAGGTTGACCCGTGAAGGGGCCTTGTCATAAGAAATGGTCATTTTGCCCTTAGAAGGGTTATCAGTTTTTTATTAAGTGATTATTGTGATAATGATAGCCGGGGAGTCGTTGGAGCAGCCACTAGAGATTCCTCACACGAGATTTCAGAAGCCAGTTTGAGAGGTGAGTTTTCCTCCAGTAGGAACGGTTCTAAGGCACCAAGGCCGACCCGTTTAGTTAGTAGTAGTTCCGGACTACGGTTTGATGCCAGGCGGGGCCCGATGTAAGTTTATATGTTTTCTTATGGATTTCGATCCGATGTCGGGACCGTCCCGAGGAATGTTTGTATGCTTGATGTCTTTGTGATTTTTGCATGTGTTTGTACTTGTATGTTTCCAGATCACGATCCGATGTCGGGGCGGTTCCCTGGGAATGATAGTATGCTTCCGGATTACGGTCCGATGCCGGGCGGGGCCCGAGGAATGTTTACATGTTAATGTTATATGTTTTAGGTTTATATGTATTATTTGATTATGTTCATATGTATGTGATCGATGTCGGGCGGGGCCCGATGCCGTATAGGGTTCGATGCCGGGAAAACCGATGTCGGGCGATGACCCGATGTAGCAGGGGTGGGGCCCAATATATGTTGATGTGATATGTGTATGGTATGTGGTAGTTGGGGAGACCCACTAAGCTTCGTGCTTACGGTTTTCAATTTTGGTTTCAGGTACTTCCGCTAGTAAGGGGAAGAGCTCAGGATGACTGCATGGCACACACCACAATTTTTAGTCTGGGAGGATTTACTCTGATGTTTGACATATGATTTTGATACATTGGCAGATATTATGTTATTTTTGAGAAACATGGTTTATGATTTTTATATGGTGAATGATATGTATGGTTTTTACCAATGAAATTAAACGAAATTTTTGGACCGTATTTTTGGGATGTTTCAGAAGGTTTCCACTCAATCTCTTAAGTTGTTGCAAGCAATTCAATAACAATTGATAATTAAGTTAGTGTAAGAAGAAGATGAAATTGGAAAAGAAGATGGAATTGAAGAAGAAGATGATGAAAAATCTTTTATTGTTTGTTGTTTTAAATTTAAAAAGTTGTTTCTTGGTTTTTGTAAGAATGTAAGAAGATTTGTTAGTTATAATAATGTTTGTAAAAAAACAATTAATAAACAATATTAAAAGCAAAAATTAAAAAAAAAAAACAAAAATAATTATATTAAAAAAAGATGCGAATATTGCTTTATTTTGTTGGTTCATAACACAGTTTAAAAAATTAAATAAAATAGTAAATAACTCTATATGGTAAATATGTTTAAAAATATACCTAATAGGTAAGTAAGTATTTTTCAAAAACACCTATATATGGTCAAAAATTCATTCTGTCTAATTAAATTTACGTTTGAATATGATATTGTATAAATAAATACTAAGTTGATGAATATAGGAACAATACTAATCCTCTATGGTAGCTTTTAACGAAAAAATGATAAACGATATGAAGCAATACAATTATGATTTCGTATGTCTATTCAACTATTTCAATATTCTCAAACAATAAAAACATAAAGAAGTACAAAAATCAGGAGCCTTTGTTGAAACCTCAGTGATGCAAAGGGTTCGGACCGGTTGGGACCAGGTGCATCTCCACGCCATATCGTGGGTCAATCACGGGGTGTTCAACGGGACTGGTTTTCCGGTGGTGGTGCCGCCTGTAAATGAATGGTGAGAAGTTGAATTTCGTGGGTGGTGCCAATGCTTTTCTGTTGAGTAATGTATAAGGAACCGAAAGGGAAAGGAGGTGGTGGTGATATTCTGGTTGATGGAAATGAACTTTGTGGATTAATCTTGGTGGTGGTTGGTTAAAAATGGAGGAGGAGGTGGTGGTGGTGGTGAAGCAGAAGAGGAGGAAGAGAGTAACAAGAGTGAGTATTGCCGGTGAGTGTAGAACTCCGACTACCATGGCGGGTGGGAGAGGTGGTTGGAGATTGGAAGAGAGAGCATGAGGGAGAGTGGGAGGTGGAAGTTGAAGGTGTATTTTGATAAGCCTAGCTTGTTTTAAGCTGAACATAAGAAATGGACTTTTTTATATATATAAACACTAACCCTAAATCTTTCCATTTGTGACTCTAATAAAAGTTAATTATATTTATTAGTTTTTAGAGAATGATGAAAAAGAAATAGTAGTATATAAACTTTTATTAGATGTGATCAAATCGAAATTTTGTTTTGTTTGTGGCTTGCTCCTTTTTGGTCGTATTTTTTGTTAAAAAAATGATTTTATCTCCAACCCAATAAAATGTAATATTTATTCGCAACGTATGAAATGCATGTGTTAACAAGGCAGTGCATAAAAACCACTCATTTTATGTATTTAAAATATAAGTTAATAATCTATAATTTGAGTTACTGTTTCGTTGGTGTATGAAAAATTACGTACAGATACATTATATGTTTCTAGTTTTTGTTGGGATGTAAAGAACAAATATACTTGCCACTTGATACCTATTAGATTTTAGCTAGTTGCGAATTCTACTTAATGGAAATTAACGAAACTAGTTATCTATTTCTTATAGAGCTAGTCGTTATATACATTGACAAAAGAGATCCAAATTATTTGTAATGTGTACATGTACAGAAATATTCTATATAGTTTAAGTAAACTACTTAAATAAAAGATGGTAAATAAATATTTAATTAAAAAAATGAATGTGCGCGTGGAAATATTAGAGAAAAATAGGGAATAAGATGTGTGCCCCGACCATTCTTCCAACAGTCTTCCCTTTGATTTCAAGCAACCAATTTTGTCAAACCCTTGACTTCTTTTTTATTTTTTCTACTTCAGTTTTTAAACCTTATATGTATACATAATAATATCCCATTCATGTTTTCCGGAATAGCATTTTAAAAACAGTAAAAATATATTTGAAAAAATAAAAAAAGCTATATTTTCCATAAAGTAATGTGTTTATCATAAGCTCGGTGGTCCATAACAATCATCAAGGAAAACGGAACTCCAATAAAATATCCTATATGGGAGTTAGAGGGTGTTGTTTTATCTTTTAAAACATCTTTTAGTTTTTATCTTTTCCTAAAAGTTAAAAAGAAGCTAAAAGATGTTTGGTAAAGACAAAAGATCTTTTAAAAGTTACTTTTCGGATATAAAGAAAATGAACTTTTTGAAAAGTCAGGTAAACCTGACTTTTTAAAACTCTTGAACCCTTTCAAAGTTAAATTACTTTTATAACCCTCAATATAAATATGTAAGCATGTCATTTTTAATCATTTTACATGTAAAACTTAAACCAAATATTTTTTAAAAGCAACTTTTGACTTTTGCCCTTCAAAAACTAATCCAAACTCATTTTAAAAAACAACTTTTTGTAAAAAGTCCTTTTATAAAAAGTCATTTTATAAAAAAGATTTTTGCCCCTCAAAAACTAAGTCAAACACCCTCTTAGGATATTTGGAACTTTATAAGGCCAAACAATAAAAATGATCACGCCATTGGGTTTCATATACAGTATTTCAGTTGGTTCAATAGGTATCATTGGATAAGAAGATTAGTTATACGCAACACGGCAAGATTGCATTTAAAAAACTAAACAAACTTTCTACATTTATTTTCAATGATAAGTTAAAGATGCAATTCACGTTATGACCCATTTTATTTTATATTTTTGGGTGAGACAAAAAGTTACAAGATATATTTCATTAAGACCATTCTAAGTCGCAGTGAAATGCACGTCAAACATACTACATAACATCATCTTATTTTCTGTCACTGTATCAAAAAAAACCCCAAAGACATTTCAAACAAATTAGAGTTACACTTCCTCTTTTATTCAATGTCACTCTTCCAAAGCACGATAGCAAAACACTGTACACGTGAACGTCTCTGGCTACACCTATAACTCATACATCGCGTCATCTTCGTTTTTTAAATACAGAATCCTTCAATGTTATTTTGTGATTAGAAATTTAGAAGTGGGAGTTGGTAAAGAGTGGCCCATGAACCCCGGCCAAGTCCAAAGTATATGGAAATATATAAGACTTAAGAGACCACCTTAGCCTTGGGTTAGTCTTTGTCGGGCAAAAGTGCACCAGTTTTCCCGTATGTATGCACCATCAACCACCCACAAGTGGGTGAGTAAGCCATGTGCCCCACCATATTGACCACATAGAAAATATAAGTTAATGAAGGATTAGGTATGGATTTTGGCAAGATGTTATCAGTTTTTTTGAATGTTAGCTTTTTAAAGATATGGGATATGATTATAAAAGAAAATCAAACTTCTCTTCATTCCAGTGTTTTCTAAGAATGCCTAGCAATGATCCAATAAGTTGTTATACAGTCATATCTAAATCGTTATCTATGGTGTCAAAATATAATAATAATAATAATAATAATAATAATAATAATAATAATAAATTAATTAATTAATTAATATGTATGTAGGTGGGAGACTTAGGTGTTGTTTGTTTTTCCGAAGCAAAAATTCAAAAAGTCTGCGGACCACCTCTGCAAACCTCTGCAGCAGAAGAGGTGGACCAAACGGCTACAGGCTGTAATAAGAAACGTGTTTGTTTTTGTTAACATCTGCAGACTGCTGCAGACATTAAAAATTTAAAATAAACTAATTTAAAAAACAACATTAAAATGAATTAACTTATGTAAATCAAATTGGAGAAAACAGTTAAAAGGGATATAAATTTAATGTATTAAATGTTAAAATGATGAAAATAGAATATAGTATATAAGTAAAGGACCATAAACGTAATATTAAATATACTTCATGGACACTTATTTAAAAAACAACACACGTCGTTGTTAGATTTTTGGAAAAAAAAAGGCCGATTGTTTTTTGGGATTGGATTTTTTTAGGTTTAGGTTTGAAGGGGTGGGAAGAGGTGGGAAGAAATACAACAAGTGCTTCCCCAAGAAGCACACGGGCAGAGGTTTTAAGCCCCGAAGACTTCCGAAAAACAAACTGTTGCGGGACAAAAAATGTTGCGTATGTGCTGCGCCGCGCAGCAATAAGAGTTTTGAAGATGTTTTTTAAGAAAAACAAACAGCACCTAAGATGAAGCACATATGGGGCTTCGAGGCTTCAATCTAATTGAATTAAAGTTTTAGTTATTGTATGGGTGGATAAATGGAGTTTCATCTTTTGAACTCAAATCATGTTGAAGATTAGACATGTCAATGGAGTGAGTTTTGACCCTCATTCGCTTCAAACCCATAAGAATTTTAAGGGGTTGGATTTTGATTTCCGATTCGTTTACCCGTTTACGACTCATACCCGTTTACCATTTTATTAAATGGGTTGAGTATGGATCATTATCGATTCGCTCTATTTATAACCCGCCCATTTAATTATAT